TAGTATGAAAAAGAACAAACGACGATCAATATCGTACAACAACACAATTGCTGTTTTTGGTTGCTTGAACTCTTCAATAACACACCCAGAGATTTCATTTTTTAAATTACCTGAAATATTGGAAAGGTGTCTTACCTTTATAGAATATTTTTTATATACCTATCTACTAGTATGTATTTGTTTCTAATATTTAGGTATTGCGATTTTTCCATCGGGCAAAATATCTGGAATAATATATAAATAAGTGGTTATGATGAAAAAAGAGACAAACGAGTAATCTACCTACACTCGCGTTAAAAACAAAACTACATAAAATACTTTAGGCGGGCGGCCCTGCCGCGTGCCAACGCAGCGCTCGGCCGTAGGCATTTATTTCAAGGACAGGGCGGAGTCACAATACTGTATAGATAATATTGCCGTGGTACAGGTGAGGTACAACCTAGTGTGTATGGCCTGCTTAATCGGTGTCCTAACGTAATCATCCTGCCTCGGATGATAACGTGTCCCGAGGTAAGGCGATTAGGTTACGATTCCGATATCCAGTGTGCGTTGCAGTAGGTGTTTCATAGAAAGTCGAGTTGCCACGATGACGATCCCTTTCAGAGTTATATGTCTGCTACAAACTACCTTTAATCGAAATCCAAAATGTCGGCTCATATTGGAAAGTGAAGTGAGTGGTTGGTCGAATAGTACCTATTCTGTGTATCTTTTTCTCTCATATAATTAGGTAGGCAAATGATCCAACCTGTTAAATGGTGGCAGAGTCCAGTTGGGAAGATACTGCTGGTGCAGCAGTTTATAGAATACTTTGTTATTGCCCACTACAGTCTTCAATAATAAGCAGGTTTTGAATCCCTATCTAAATGACTGATTACTTTATGACATTTTGTCTAACCAAGGTCTAACCACTGTCTATCGTCTTTGTTTGTTTATCGTCGCAACACAACGCTCGCATATTTTGAAACTAAAATACCTACAATTTTTCTACAAGTAAGATTTTGTTCACATAGGCAATTCACTTTATTAACCGGTACAAACTGCGTGCTGTGCTATCAATTTATGAAGATTGTACAGCTTACTTGCGGGTGGGGGCTTGTCGCCCTGGTTTGTGTCAAGCTGCGTGGGGCTGCGTGCTGTAAACCCTGCTGTTCAACTTATATCTCGACAACTGTCTCCAGAGGTTAAGGTCGATGAATATGGGATTGCGGATGGGTTATATACCTAGTTGTTAACTGCTATACGCTGCTGACCCGCCCGGATAAATTGACCGCATTTTGAAGGTAGGTGAGGTGACGTCAGACGCCGCAAAAACCGATAGGGCATAAAATGACTAATGAATATGATGAATGAAGCGAAAGATGTGTGTACGAATACGGACCGTGTATTTTATGGCTATCTATTCTCTAATGCCTACCTCACCCGGGATCAGTGTTAAGATATACGAGTAGATAGTTAAATACTCATTTTCTTGTCTAAGAAATGTAATATTATACGTATATAAACTAGACACTTTATTTATGCACGTGTAACTAATGTAACAAGTAACACACGTATTACTACAAACAAAGTTAATTTGCTATGTTGTAAGACATGAAGAGGAACCACCAACTTTCACAGCCGTCTTACTTAACTACTAATTCGTTCACAAATACACAAGTATAATAAAGAGGTAGTATTCTGAAGCTCTGAGTACCTGGTTCACTCTATAATTCCATATTTGCCGGTTAACAAAAAAGGTTGTAAATCTTACGAGATTGTTTGTCATGTCTACTTACGCAAAACGTTATAAATTAACTGATGTTTAACAACCTGTATTTCTCTAACTGGATTTTGAATTTGGTAAATCAATATTTCCAGCTCAATTTTCGCACAGTGATTTTAACGAAAATAATTTTATTTAAGCTATAGATACGTAATAAAGTACGTATTGCATAAGGCATAATCATAAGTCTTATAATAGTGCAGTCATTTAAGCGAAAAATACGGTCTTACCTCCGAATTTTTTTACTGTGAACCGATTTGCATGAAATTTTGGAATTAGGCTCATCTTACCCTTAACTTCAATAGTGAAAATGATCTAAACTACGCCTATTATTTTTAAGGGGTGTAAACAACCCCTTAATGGAAAAATTGACATTGAGCCATTTTATCGCTAGAAAACATGTCTAATAGTAAATGAAATTGTAAAGTATTTTCTAACATAATTACCTCATATTAAAATCATTTTCAACCCCTTGAAAATCTTAAAACCCTTGCAAACAACCCCTAAATTGAAAAAATCACAAAAAAATACTTTGGTATGACATAAAAAGATGTAAGTATAGAGTAAGTAATATTTTATATTCTCTATAATAATTATCAAATTTTTAACCCCCTTTCAACCCTTGAAAACTACCCCTTGATAAAAAATTGTTAAATTTTTTTTTTGATAAAATGTAAAGGATTTAAATATTATTCCACACTCTCGAAAATGATAATCATATTCTTAAGTTTTTCTACCCTTAAAACTACCCCTAAATTAAAACAGTAAATATATATGATTACATATTTAAAAATAATTTAATTTAGAGTAAGAAATTGCCATTTATTGATTAAAATATTTACTAATTATATAAAATTGTACTATTATTATTAAAATATAATATTATTATTCATGACTCAATGTCGGAGTCCCTGTCACATTCAACATCTTCTGGCTGACTTGGAGGGCTATTTTGGCAGTTATCTCCACTGCACGTTCCACAGGTACTATTACAAAACAGACCAACTTTTCTGCATCCGCAAGACGCTCCACATCCTTTTTTGCATTTGCAAAAAATCATTGCCAGCAGTTCTTGTGGTGCGGGTGGATCTATCTACAGACTTAAGTGGATTTAATAAACCGTCATTCATGACCCACCCCCAATCCGTTGGATGAATGATGATGATGATGATGATGAAATGATGAAATGTGTTATATATACATATAAGAACGTTGGTATGTATTCATGCCTACGTTTCCAAAATATATGAGCCATATTATGTATATATATATACACATTACAATAGTTGTGGGTCTCTATTATACTGCGTACTTTCACATTGCTCCAAATATTCACACTCCGAAATTTTCAGTAACTAAGTAGAAAAAAAATATGATAAGTTTTTGGACCATAACTCCTTCAATTTCCATGCTATCACAATTCATGAAAAACCATTGTAAAGGTAATTAAGAGAGCTACAACATCCTTAATTGCAATATATATTAAAAAACCTTTTTCTAAAACGGTGAAGGGTTGAAGGGCTTAAGAGAGGCTGTGATTGCGCTGCCACGCGCTCTTTAAACAATCATATCTCCGTCAATTTTATTTTGACAGAAAAAACAAAAAAACCAAATTGTTTGTCAGAAAATACCTAATTTTTAAATCGTACACTTTTATACGTATCTGTCGTCATTTTTGAGATATAAGAAATAAAAGTGGGTTTTTTTAAAATTTGAAATTTTGGTTTTTCTTTTAATTGTGACTTTTTTGAAAAATATGTGTCCTGAAGCAGCCAAACTGATACTATCTATCAAACTATTCATAATAAAGTTAATTCTAGGCGGAATACGATTAATTTTAATTTTGGTGGAAATGGCACTTATGAAACCCATTGATTTAAAAGAAAAAACATTAGATGCTCCCCTTATTTGCAATACAGCTCACTTATTTTCCGTGCAAAAGACTTTAAAAGTCTTTTTAGTGCTCGTTTTAAAGCTTATTTCAAGCACTACAAATCCCTTTTGTATTAGAATGCATAAAATGCATCTGCTCGCCGCTACATGGCATTGACCACATCGATTAAATTTCAGACAAAATAAAAAACGGCTTTGATCTTTATTATCTAGCTTAATATTGCACTTAGAATACTTTATAACCAAATTGTTCAATGTTTTACCTGCTACAATTTAGTTCTTTATAAAATTTTCGATAAAACTTATATTTTTCGAGATATTTGCAAAAAACCGATGAAAAATGGGGAAAAATTGCGAATTTTCAATTGCCAATAACTTAAAAAGTATTGGATTTTTTGAAAAACATTATAGATGATTTTTCATTATTGATTTTTTGCTTATAATTAGACCTTCTATCGATATCCGAGGTTATTTTGAAAAAAAAATTCACCTCCGAGAAGGGGTGGCAACCACCCCCGGGGTGGTTGCGGAGTTCAAATCATTTTCACTTTTGAAGTTAAGGGTAAGATGAATCTAATTCCAAAATTGTATGCAATTCGGTTCACAGTAAAAAAATTCGGAGCAATAATGCTTTAATGACTGCACTATAATAGGTACCGCTGATGTAATTGTAAATAAAGACCTTTTGTTCAAAGTCAGATAAAATGTAATAAAACAGTGTTATCGTTATTAGTCTTCTTATATCTTACAAGTCTTCTTATATTCTACAGCTGGCACAGACCTTCCCCAAAGGAATATCATAGGCAGGGCCGAATTTAAGGTAGAGCAGACACGGTTGTGGCCCCGGGGCCCCCACGAGAAAGGGTCGCCCACAACAGGGATAAAAATAACCTTTCGACGGGTCATTAATCACGTGCAAATCGTGGTGCCACATTTTAAAATACGCTTTCGATGAGGGCCTTCTGGCCTTCGTTGCTCCATGACCTCCACACCTGTAAATCCGGCCCTGATAATAGGCGATAGTGAAACATAACTCACCACAGACAACACGGGCCCATTTCGGATTGGTGGGTGCTATGTATCTTCTGATTCATGGAGACGACAGTATAATTTTTTAGTCACTAGCCATTGCGGAAGTTGCTTATTATGTAAAATCACTGATCGAGCGCGATAACCGCTACGTCATCGAGCTTTATCTTTTGTAATTAAATTTTATTTTAAGTAGCGGTTATATTACTATTGCTAATTATAGAAAACAATCTAATATTTCACAAAAGGATCCGGTTGTGAGGTGTTTTATAAGATAATTATCTTTTTTTACTTTACTGCCTTAATCTGTTGCTAGGTTGCACCGTGGTCGTGAAACCAGCGGAGCAGACGCCACTGACAGCGTTAGCTATGGCGGCGCTCTTGGCGGAGGCAGGCATCCCCAAGGGTGTGGTGAACGTGGTCCCTGGCTACGGGGAAACGGCTGGGGCAGCGCTTACCCTCCACCCTGACGTCGCCAAGATATCTTTTACAGGATCCGTAGAGGTTTGAAGACATATTTTATACCTTACTGTAATCTAAATTGTAAACTGATTGTTGTAGAAACATCAAAAAAGTTTCTGTCTTAGATGCATCTTAACCTAAATTGGTTCCGATGTTGCAGTTTTGATCTTGCTACTAGTAAGCTACTTCTAATTTAACATGAAAATCCATTGTACCTTAATGACTTGTTTCTATTAAGGTTATGTAAAATTTCCATCACAGGTTGGCAAAATTATCCAACAAGCAGCTGGGGCGAACAACCTTAAACGTGTCACCTTGGAGTTAGGGGGCAAGAGCCCTCTAGTTATTATGGATGACGCAGATCGTAAGTAAAAAGTCAGTCAGTTTAGAACAGATTAGGTAAAAGTTATTGCGTTCTTCAATTTTCCAATGGGTAGAAGGGATTTTATACAATAAGTAAATCTATAACGTAAATAACTTGTTCTTGTGAAGTTGGCTGCTCTTGGCTTCATGTGAACTTGTCAACTGCTGGCATCTTAGCAAGTTGAATTCAATGCGTTTTTAAATTGAAATCACATTGGGACTGAGACGGTAAAAAGTTCTACCTAAGGAATATAGCAAGTATTAGAAATCTTTCAAGAATATGGATGTAATCGGTAGAGTCATTTTTAACAGGGCATAACCAAGGGAATCATGGATTCATTTGTCTATCATAAAGATATGGAGAATGCAATCACATTCTCTGGAGTAGCAGGTTTTTGTATCGTAATTGTACTCCATTTGCATTAAAAATCAGGTGGGATGGAGCAGTTTTATGAGATTTGTACCTATAAAAATCAATATTGCAGTGAACCTCGCCGTACCCCTGGCGGCGCAAGGTGTATTTTCGCACCAGGGGCAGGTGTGTGTCGCTGCGTCACGGTTGTTCGTGCAGGCCGGCATTTACGACAAGTTCGTGCAAGCGGCCGCGCAGTACGCCAAGTCGCGCAAGCTGGGCGACCCCTACGACCCCACCACTGAGCAGGGACCACAGGTTAGATGCAAATATGGCTTTTAGAACAATTTCTCCATGGGGCAATGCAGTAGGGGCGTTTTCAGAATAAAGATGCGCGATAACGCTGCCAGGTTTGGATGCGCGCATCCGATGCCACAGGATACCGTTATTGGATGCCCATGCTATCTAGTTTTTTTCAACGTTACTATAGCAACAGTGCCACAAAGTTATCTGTGCCGGTGGAGATGTTGCTAGTGGTGAACAAATATGTCATAAAAATTTCAAAATGCTATGGATAAATTGTAGTTCAAATTTTGCCACCGGCACAGAAAAGTTCGTGGCACTGGACTGCGTTCAAAACCTACGGTCTGAGTGTAATTTTTTATATATTAATTTTGCCAGCATTCAAAATTTTCAGTTACCATACCGAAAAGTAAATAAATGGTATCGATTACATTTTAAAGTCACTATTCATGGAATCGAAGACACTCACCTACACAAAACACGCGTCTGTCGTAATTCATATCGCAACGTATCCTGCGATACTACGATACTGACATTCACTTGGCATCGATGCGCGCATCCGATGCGATTTATCTGATACCGATGCGCATCGATTACACAAGTATCTAAATGTAGGGATATTTATTATTTTGATAATTTGATGACGGATCCTTACTGGGCTCAGTGTTTATCAATACAGGATTAATTGCAGTGTTTGTGGAAAGTTTGGGGTTGTTATTACCAGTGCCGTGTTTACTTAAAGGCCAAAAGAACCATGGTCCAGGGCAGCAGACGTAGCGAGGGGCGGCTGCATGATGCGAGGGCAGCAGAGTCCACATAAAGGCATTCGTTACTGACCTATTCTTTGGGTGTGCAAATCTTAAAAGACCAGATATCAAAACACCTTGATTTTTGCGAGTGTCCGACATTTCCGCATTGAATCTATTCATTCTAAAATGAAGCGTTGACGACACCGTCATTATTCAAGGAGTTGTAAAAAAATCGTTTACAGGTCGATGAGGTGATGTTGAAGAAGGTTTTGGGATACATTGAGCAGGGCAAGAAAGAAGGTGCAAAACTGATGGCAGGCGGGAAACGCGTGGGCACCACCGGCTTTTATATTGAGCCCACCGTCTTCGCCGATGTTAAGGATGACATGACTATTGCTAAAGAAGAGGTGAGAATAATCTTGATGATGATTTTATAAAAGCATAAAATAAAATGTAAGCATATATCACTTAACATCAGGTGGGGTAGAGTCATTTGACTACCTAGCTATAAAACAAAAAAAAACAACCACTTGGTTAATACAATTTCAAAGGAAAACCGGCACTTTTCATAGAAAAAATGCTAAACTTGTATACAGTTGAATTTGGTCTCAAAATAAAGCCAAAATTATTTGCTACATAAAACTACTTTTGCCTTATTTTTAGTGAATCGTGGAAAGAAGTTATAAATATAATGATTAATATTTTTTGATATGGAAACCCTAAATCTTCAAGGGACAGAATTTTACTTCAAAATCATAGTTTTTACAGTCACTTGAGTAATTCAAGTGACTGTAAAAACTATGATTTCTTTGCTTTTTCTAAATAAAAAACCAAATGTCAATTTGACAATCCTAAAATACAAACAAAAAAATCATTCCCATTTCGCATCCGCTCCCGCGTACTGTGATTGTGAATGTTCTCTGTTGTGATTGCCTTTATATCCGTTATTTCTCTTGACGACCCGGCTACATAAAGAGGTTATATTGACAAACCTACGTATATGACATGGACAGCTAGCTGCTGATGACAAATATTGCCAGACTACGTTACCCAATTATGAAACAGATAAAAAAAATAAAAAGTATACAACTTTGGCACAAAATGCCGGGTGTCCTTTTAAATTAAGATTTTTTTAGTGTAACTTTTCATTATCCACACCATTCCATACTAATATTTCGTAATATTGCAAAATTCCTAGGATTTTCGCGCAAATTCGATTTATCAAATCATCCTACGCAATAATATACTTACAGATAAGGGAGACCTTGAAGGAGGACGCAGGAAACTTTTTGTCGCGAAACTAAAACTTGAAGGGGTGAACACTGAACAGGGAAACGAAATTTGTATGGGGATACGATTTTATTTGAAATAAAAGTTCTGTGCTGTTCGTAATATTTCGTGAAAGTTTCTTATGCCTGTTTCTAGTCTTTTACGTTATTTATGTGAAAAGAAAGCCGGCAGGTAAAGGTTGTAGCAGACATATCAACTCAGAAACGGTTCGTGACGTAATCGCTTCGGGTCGGTCCCGAGACGAGGCGATTACGTCACAAAGTTTCAGAACAAATAAAAAAGTACTGTACAGCTGTACTTTTATTATTTGATCTGAGGTTACAGTAATTAATTTCATAGAAAGAATATTGAACGGCTTGAGTTGATACGGTGACGATCCTTTTTCGAGCTGATATGGCTGCTACGACCCTCATTGCTTTTCCTTCTGTATTTCATTTGTAAATTTCTTTAAAGAGAGAAGCGATTATTAGTCCTTTATATGGGCACGCTTCATTCAATCATTATTTTGGCATCTTGCCAGTTTATAATGTGTCTGTGCATTCGACAAATCCACTATGTGTCGAATGCACAGGAATAAATTAATATGTGTAGCTTTACCATGAGTTAATAGCGACTAAACTCGCTAGCGTCGGTGATTATAAGTTCTATGAAAAAATGTACAGCGCCTCTAGCGAAAACTCGCAGAACTAAAATCGGTAGTACGAGTCAACAAATTAAAACCTATCGAAATCTATTCGATAGGTGAGTAACGTTTTGAAGGAGTTTCCTTACAATTCGGTACCATGAGTCACAAATGTGATAGATGTTATCGAGAAATACCTTTACGTCTGTAGTTAAGTAATTTACTGCCTAATTGAGGCGTGAAAGGGTGTTTGATTGAACCAAAGGTGTTTGAGAATTATTAAGTTTGGAGTAGTTTTGGGGAAAAGAATGTCGGCAAGAAGTTATTTCGCATGGAATATGATTACGGCAGCTACTTATCAAGATGAACGATACGATCAAGCAAATTTTCAAGCTAACATTAGAAAGAGAATTGAAAATCCCCTGAAACACATAAGCGCAAATAACTTTATAAAAGAACTAGCTGACCCAGCGAACTTCGTACCGCCCTAAAAAAATAGGGGTTGTCCAGCGGACAAAATTGTGAATCTAAACCATTCTCAGATCCCCTTGAACACACACAAAAAATTTCATCAAAATCGGTCCAGTCGTTTAAGAGAAGTTCAGTGACATACACACTCACAGAAGAATTATATATATAAAGATATAGGCTTAATAAGGAAGCTTTTGAGGATTTGTGTGACTTGTTAGTATATTATTACACGGATTTGAGATCAACACAGAGAGTCTCGCTGGAATCCAAGGTTAGTCTAACTGGAAATTATACTCGCCCTATGCCGATATTTTAACTGTTTACATAATTATGCAGGTTTTGTGCGCATTACTATTTTATGCACACGGCAGTTACCAGCGCGTCACCATACACATACCTTTCCATAAAATCCACCATTAACTGGAATTGGGACGCACTGGTTCTCATTTTATTAAATAAAAAGAAATCAAACAGCCACACCGAAACAACAAGGAAACTAAATTTATGTCATCGGCATTATATACCCAATACAATTTAAAAGTTGTCCTAGAGCTAAACTTTACCCTTTGCTCTACGATGTTTTAAATAAGTTGTATTATCTTATTTTCGGGAATAACTATCGTACTCTGTCATATATGCAAGTTAGACACGTGTGAAATATGATAATACGGACTATCGAGCCCTCGCTAGCGAGTTTATCACATGTTATTGTAACTCATGGTACAAGTTTATGTGAAATCTATTCGATGCGTGTATATACGCTAACGACCGTGATAACTTAGTGTCAATTTTCGATGTCAACTCATGGTAAAGCTACTGAAGTCGAATGTCTTACCGTAGGATTTAGGAGGACTCAATCATGCTTGGATAATTTGGTACGGTTAGTAATGCAAATACAAATCGGCTTTACAAATAAAGAACAAACTGGGCTGTTTCGTCGATATAGGCAACGCCTATAATAATGTAAATATTATAAAAGTAGTATCCAAACTAGATGAAATGGGAGTCGGTGCGAATATATGTAGATATATATGGGAGTTTCTGAAGAGTAGGCGATTGTCTGTGGAGTCAGCATCCTAGCAGTTTAGTTACCAGAAATGCATGCGTGGGATTGGCCCAAGGTGACCCTTTGTCTCCCATCTTATTTAATGTAGTAACAAGCGATATTTGCAAAAATATAACAAATGTATACATATCTCAATATGCAGATGACTTTGTCCTATACATTTCAGGGCGAAATTTTAGGTTCATGACAATTCATACACAAAAAGCTGTTGACTCTTTATCAAAAATGCTCGATGACCTAGGACTTAATTTGTCACCTAACAAAAGTAAAGTTTGTACGTTTTATAGGGGTAGGTTTCATCATGAAGTTAATATTAACATAAAAGGTTACAGATTGGAAAATGTTGTCACTATAAAACACCTCGGATTATGGATAGCTCAAAGATTGCGATGGGGTTTAAATTTTTTTTTAATATATTTTATGTTTTAGCTGGGTCTGCTAGGAGCATTCATTCTTTACATTTAAGACGATTATACATTGCTATTATTAGAAGCAGATTAGACTTTGCAAGTTTTCTTTTTGACAATAGTTTTAAAATACACATACAGAAACTTAATAAAATTCAAAATCAAGCTATGAGAGTAGTAGGAGGGTTCATAAAAAGTAGTCCAATTCACGCAATGGAGGCGGAATTAAGCTTGCCCCCGTTATGGAACAGAAGGAAATACCTCGCGGTTAAATACTGGCTTAAGTCGAAATCGGTTGATGGCAGTGAAACCATATCCAGTATATCAAAATTAGCTGTACAATGCGAATAGTCATCTTATTGGAACAATAAGAAGAAACCGTTGCTAGCGTTAGTTCATAATGAACTACAATATAAATACAAGGTACATTGCTCAAAAACTTTAGAAATGTTTTCACTGTCGACATGGATGACAAATATAGATTTTGAATCACACTTAAATGTTAAAATAACTAATTTAGAAGCACCGAAAAGAATGTACAATTCTATGGAATTATTGAAAAAATCCTTGGAATGTATTCAAGAAAATTATAAAGTCTACTACCAGATATTCACAGACGGATCTAAAGATAAAGATGGGACAGGTGCTGCATTTTTTGATCCTCAGGCCAAGTCAACAATGAGCTTTAAACTACATATTAAAATATCAATAATGGGAGCAGAATTATATGCAATTTGTGAATGTTTGTCATATTGTCATGTAATGAACAACTTTGTAGTACTGACGGATTCTATGAGTGCTTTACAACATTTAACAGGATGTACATTGAAGCACCACGTTCCGTAATGTCGAGGTCCGGCCGATCTATTCGTGTGCCGCGCCTATACACTTAACTCATCTATGGAAACGTCATTTGATTGACAGATGTCTTATTTAAGAGAAAAGTAATCTTGTTGCCGCTAAAAATGATTGTTAGAGAATATGTTGATTTTGTTAAGTAAATGCTGTTTGTTTGTGAATTATAAAACATTAAAGTGATTAAGAAGAATAGCGTGTTTATTGTGTCATCAGCGACTTTACGACATTCACGTTATAAATGGCTACCCAACGTTCGGCTCGAACAATCTATTTGTTGTGAACAGTGGTTGTGAAAATATATTACGATACTGTGCCTCCTTCACAAAACGGATGATACTTGTGTTCCAACGTTTGTTCAGCGTTTTTCCGAGTTCATAAGACTCGACGCGGCGTTTATGTATTACCTATATATCTATTAGTGAGGTGCTCAACATTTTGTTAGGTATCGTTTTACAAATTGAACAAAATATTTGTGAGTGGACTAGTAGTGTGCTTCTGAAAAACCCAATATGGTACTAACACGCTCAGGTTCTGGCGAAAACGGCGGTCAACAAATGCCAATAACAGAAAATATCACAGCGCACACATTGGATTCTGGCCTGGCCCACATGCCGCCGGATACCTCACCTTCGCCTGTTGCGGGCGCAAGCGGCTCCGCCACATCTACAGTGCAGTCTCAAGCCACACCAATGA